GTGATCGCTAGCGACACAGCTATGTTAGCATAATATAAACAGTGAAGCTGGAGGACGAACACTAACACTTTTCCACTTAAAAAAGTTAACGTTAAGGTTTCTGATAGTTAGAGACAAATGCAATCGCATGGCAGGATGCTGTAAACGGACCAAACTTCAGTCAGGAGAACAACTGAGATAATCCATCCACAATACGAGGTTAGTCATTAATATACTGCAACAACATGGGAACAGAGCAGCTGCCAGAGAATTCAACATTAATGAATCAATGGTACAAAAGTGGAGGAAGCAAGAAGAATGAGTTTAATAAAGTTTGATTTATCTGACTGCTTTGTTTCGCTTAATGTGCCTTATAATCCTGTGCACCTTATGGTCCGAAAAATACGTACTGCACACTGCAGTTTAATGTTGCAAAGCACCTCTTTTTAACTTCAGTGGATATTATACATGGTTATGCTCAGGATATGTCAGCACATTTCTACTGGAAATGCCTTTTGGTTAAACTTTCAGCAAGGAATTTGCATTTGCACTGTTACATTTTTATAAAGCTTTAATGTACATAAAAACCAGCTTCTTGTTTAAGTGAAAATAAATGGAAGGTTGTCTTTTTGCGCTAGTAATGTTGTGGAGTTGTATTTTGTCTCGCATCAATTATATCGTCAGTTATATCGTTATCGCAAATTTTCAAATATATATCGTGATAAATATTTTTGGCCATATCGCCCTGCTCTATAGTAGAGTGAAATCAAAAAGCAACATAGTACTAGTACAAGTACTCTTGTGGATTAAAAAAACTGATGTATCTCTAGTCCAATGACTTTTGTGAGGTGGCACCAGGAATGGGGGTCAATCATATTTTAGATGGGGCTGGTGTCACCCCATGCTCCCCTTCTTGACACGCCCCTTTTTTCTGTCTATCGTCATCCAGTTAGACATACTCAGACTCCATTGTCTTGGACTGTAACTGGTGATAGTGATCATTGTTGTGCTTCATGTGCAAACTTGGGGCTCACGCTAACAGACCCTAAAGCAAACACTACTAACAGTTTGCCTGCATGTATTCTCTCCAGGTACTCAGACTCCCCCAACAATCCAAAGTTAATCATGTTAGGTTATTTGGGGATTCTAAATTCACAAATTCAAGCATGAATGGATGGATGTCTCTTCTGTGCTGGGCTTGAGATGGACTGGCAATCTGTCAAATGAGTATGCTGTGTGCCATGATGTCCCAGTGACTGATCAAGAGAGTGTCAAGATGTCTGCAAATCAATTTTAATCCAAAGTATGATGATGGGAGGGAGAAGAAATTTTTTTTTTGCAAAAGTAGAATTCAGAGAGCTGTTTGCTTTTCATCTAATGTGATTACCCAGCGGAGAGCTGCTTCAACAACCCTCACAACCGGAATTTGATTTGTCCCCAGAAATTTGGAGGTTAAATATTTTCTCTCACTCTTTGCCAGAGAGAGAAAAAGCTGTGGGTGTTTTGCGATGAAGAAAAATCCTGCAGTCAAATGTCCAAAAGGCCGATATACAGCACAGAGTGGATAAACAGAAGCACTACTCCTGTTTGGTTGAGTTAATGATGGAGTAACGTTTGTTAGGATTTTGCCTTCTGTCACAGGACGACAGAACATGCTGTTATTACAGAATCAGCTCAATCATGGACGCATCACAACATAACCACGGCCCTTAAAATGATAGCCTGTTAGAATTTGCTGACTGTTTGCATTTATTCCTGCAACCTGAAATGAGTTTTTCCATGCCAACAGTTTTTCATCAGTTTTGTAATCAAACCTGCTGCCCTCAGATTAAAACAGAAAAGCTAATGTGCTTATGTGTGATGTTTTGCTCTCTGTCCCTGTAATTAATTACACCCACTACTTATGAGATTAACCACTTCACAATTTGACTAATAAGGACAGGGAAAGCACTTAGAAAGTGTCTGCTGGACCTGCCTTAATGTCTCGGATAAAGGTTTGCTTCATTTCAGTAATGTGAAAGTAGGTGGAAGCTTAAATTCTCCAAAGAGGTTAAAGGCTTTGAGCACAGATTTATTGATTAACTCTTAAGGAACTGCACTCAAGTGCAAAATTATTTGGGCAGAAATAGGTACTTACTTTGAACACCTTTAGCTTTAAACCTAAAGAATAGCCCAATGCTGGACTTCCTGTTTATTAGCATCAATGTTGTATCGCTTCAAGATAACAGTGAAGTTAAGCAGCCACTTTTATACTGTGTCAACACTGCTCACTGCTCTTAGAGCTAAAGTCTCCTAAATGTGATTCATCTCGGGACACTATGATTCTCTTTGTAGCCTTGCTGCCTTTTGAGGCATCTCTGGGAGAGGTGAGCTCTAGTTACATTTGGCAGCAAAACTGCTCTGACCACAGGCATTCACCATAAAAAACGAGTCAATCCATTACACAGTCTGGTCTGAAAATATTGGATGTGATACATTAAGGGAAACCCAGTCCTTGTTGTTAAGAAATACCATTTTGATAATGGCTGTGGGCCTCGGGTGTTTCCGTAGCCTCGCAGAGCCGGTGTTCGTCTGAGTGTTCTCAGTTTCCTTAATGTAATAACACTTTTTTCCCAGAGGAGTTCAACACGGACAATGGGAGGTGAAGAGAGTGTGTTAAGGCTGAAAGAGAGAGAGAGTGTGTGTGTGTGCGTGTTAGAGAGAGAGAGAGACAGGGAAAGCCCATGACAGAGAGGGAGAAATAGGAGTAGGTGTTAAACGAATGGCTGAGATGATTGCGAGTGCTGGTGGAGGAATCAGATTCTGAGGATCTCGTATTTCAACTCAGTGACGGCGACACACACGTCGCTTCGCACAGGCTTTTGGCACGATTAGAAAAGTGCAGGAAAACACTCATGGAGGAAGCCAGACTAACGAGATGAATCCCCTCATTTCAAATGTCAAAATAAAAGTAAAAAAGAAAACAAGTATTTTAAATCCTCTTTAGATGTTAAGTTCATTTCGTCTTTACTAAAAACACCTCTGAAGTACAGAGAGTCTGCTCCTACACATCCTTTGACTGATACAAAAAGGTTCCCAGGGAGTTGGTACAAACAGTCCTCTTAAGAGTAAAAGCAAGGCCCCTAAAGTCACAAATATCACTGCAGAAAACACCGAGCAGGAAGGAGCATTAACTAAATTACTATCTTTAAGGCATAATTATCTACATCATTTAATAGCGTTATGGTGGAAAACATTCAAATTAAAAGCTCAACTTGTATAATTTTCCTCTCTGTGAGATCCTGACATTGTTTCCCAGCCTTTAGTGTGTATCTGTTACCTCCGTGTTTCCCTAAGGATGGGTAATGTTTAAGCTGCTGGCACTTTAGCCAAGTGGTGACATCATGTTTCATTTGAACTACACTATCTGTTTTTTCATGATAATAATTTTAAAAAAAAACATTTGGAGGAAAACCTGAAAGATTAAAGAAAAAAACTGTATATAGAAGATGGACATGGCCACTACGACATCACCCACTGGTTTGTAAAGTCCTCGTTTGAATTCTTGGTTTCAGCTTTAGCTGTTTCCATGTTATTGTTTTTTGGGCCAAAAGTGACTCTATTAGCCTGAGATGGTGCAGTGCAAGGTTATCAGCTAACACTTGGCAGCATGAGGAGAATCCATACAGTATGGCTGCATCACAAACAGGTACCTGCTAATGACTTTCATGAAAAAATTTAATGAACACAAATAAAATTACAAAATTTCACTCACCAACAATAGAAGCTAAGATGTCTTGTATGCGTTCTTTGTCAGACAGTTGTATTACAAAATGTTCTAAACTGAAAAACAATAAATGAAAATACATAGGAAACAGTGGAAAAAGAGCATTTTCTTTGATTTAAATGTTTATGTAACACTTAGTTACTTTAGTGCACTATGAGTGACCATGGGGACGATTTTTCTTAGTAGGAAAAGCTAATATCATAGAAAATACAATTAGAAGTCCAAACTCTATGTCTTCGTTCAAAGGTTATTGTAGTTAACTAAACTAAAAACTAGATGTGAAAAAATAAAAATGAACTGAAAACTATTTGTGAACTTGGAAAATGAACCAAAAGAAAATAAAAATATCCTTAGCTTACGTAATGCGTCACTGATGTATGTGTGAAGTGCTGTATTGAGACTCTGAATGCCTACAAAACTGTGAGTCCTGCCTCTTACATACGGCCCCATACAATAACAATAAAAGGACTAAAACACTGAGACTAATAACAAATAAAACATAAACCAACATAAGAAAATCTACCTTGGAAACTAAACTGAATTTTTTAAAAAGTCAAAATGAAATACAAATTTAAAACTAATATGAAAATTCAAAACTACAATAAACTCCATATTGGAGTCCTGGGCGGGCGATTCTGGACCCCGAACCTTATATTTGACACCCCTGCTATAGAGTAGTAAAATTAAACACAAACTGTCAGCCTACTAAGTAAAACGGTTACTTACTAGGTTAATAACTTTAATCCACCTCTGTGAAAGTGAGCTAGGTTTTACAACAATACTCAACTCCAAAGTATCCCGAACTTTCCAATGATGCCAACGTTTTTATCCCTGCTTTAAATCCTTAACAACAAACGTCTGTCTTAAAGCAACTTTTAGCCGTCTCCATATTTTCACAGCATCCTCACAGACATCTAACCAGTCTCACGTGCCCTGCGCCTGCACTTCAGTCGACTTGCAACGCAAATCAATATTTGGATCAAAAAGCCAGGCAGAGACACACAAACACGCACGCACACACACACACACACACACACGCACACACACAGAAGCGAAGCATATCCCGCCATCCCGTCTGCTGGAATGTATTCACAGGCGTCTCTAATGAATTTAAATGAATCCCCTCATGCCAACACGGAAGCCCGGGAGCAAGGTCCCGGGTCTGGGTTGCATGTTTATGCTCAGCGGGAGCGCACGGAGCTGCTGGCAGGTGGTCGACCGAGCCAGCCGGCCGGAGTTAGCACGCATTTCTTACCGGGAGTTTTCTTTTGGCGCAGTGGAGAGGAAGGAGGAAGAGGAGGTGGGGGGTAGACCAACTCCACCGCTCTCCCTTCTTCAGGCGGCTCTCTCCATCCGATGACAGCGGTGCCGGTCGGGTTTATCTACCCCGGGGAGGTGGAGGGAGGGACACGGCGTTCACACTGATGATGGTGCTGATGGTGGAGGAGCTGCTGCTGGGTCAGCGCATCCGGAAGCGTTCAGATACGGCCAACCGGAGGAGGGAAAAGAGGGAGAAGAAGAAGAGGAGGAGGAGGGTTTGATGTTTAACTCAGAGGGGTCCGTGTGTTTCCGTCACTAAGGTCTGCAGAAAGCTGCAGCCAGAGCCGCAGATGAACCTCCGACCGACTGCACAAATGAAGTCCCACCCCTGCAGCGCAACTTCTACCTTCGGGCTGCTCGATAGACTCGACCACCGCCTCCTCCTCCTTCAAGGCTTCACAACAGCAGCAGTGGGGAGGACCTGCCTGCTCTACGTGCACACACTGTTGTTACACAACCCCGCGCACGAGGAGGAGGTGTGTGTTTGAGTGAGAGAGAGGTACACAGGTACACCCAAACTTTTGAAGTCACCCTCAGCATCCCTCCACAAATCTGACGCCTGTGAAAACTCTCCTGCGCCCCCCACCTCAAATGATCAAAATCTGTCTGCTGAACAAACCTCCACCTCCTCCACCGCCATCACCACCACCCTGATTCATCTGAGATTTGAGCTGTTAGGGATGATTCAGTGTGAAATTGCATAACTGTCTGTGCTGGAGGCTGGCATGGTGCAGTAATGAAACCTCTGATAAGAAAAACATGCATCAGTCCTCATTTCCCCCAAATAATTCTAATTAAACTATTTCCAACTAGTGTGCACTCACTACATGCTGCAGTCGGTTTTAATGAGTGAAATGCTGCAAAGACACAGCTCATATGATATGTGATTTTTTTTTTAAATGTTACTTTACAAGCCCAACATTGTAATTACAAACCATCAGCTGGTCTTTAAAACATTATTAGACACAAATAAAAGTAATTTTAATAACTGAGCTGAAAACTAACCCAGACAGTTCTTGCTGGAAATAGTTTTCATTCATCTCAGTTTTGCATATAAAATGCTTGAAATATGAAATAAGATCAAAGTCTGAATCTTAAAGGGGACATGCTTCACTCAATCCCAAATCCTTGAGTCCCATGCTCCACAGTTCAGACTACATTTTACTCATACTGGGCCTTGGCAAAGCTGTATATCTACTGTCAGCCTTCCAAAAAATGAATTTTAGTCCTTTAAGCAAGCTTTATTCTGATTGGCTGCCCCACACAGCAGTTGCCCAGAGCTGTGCGGGCTAAAACCAACACATAAGGTGTGAAATTAAATGTTTTTGTTTTACATGTGTTAAAGTGTGTAACAACACATTCTTTTCAATTTTTTTTTAAAGATTCTAAGAGTGCGGGATATTAAGGCTCTCTGTTCTAATCAACATCATAGAGCGCGACGATTAGAAAACTATGTTTAAAGCAGCTTGAAGCCATGACATCCAGGTTATGCGAGTTTCTATGCTCATGGCCACGTTTAATATGAACATCCATCACTGGAACACACGTGACAAAAAGAGAATAGCATAAAAGATCCTTTTTAATGCATACACGATCACCTCGAGGACCTTCTATTTGCAAAAAGTTGCAAAATCCACTTTTGAATTTGCAAAAAGTTGTGGAAAACCTGCAAATTCCAGCTAACATCGTATAAAATAATAGCTATAAAACCGTTAAACAAATAACAAAACCCATAAAGGACAATTTAGGTGTTTATTCAGCAGTTTGGACAGCTACACTTTCCCAACCGTATAATAACTCTAAATTCTGGAGGTGTTGTCATAGCTCACCTGAATGATTGGTCAAACGCATGCCAAAGGCCATCGCCGCAGGATCCTCTGAGCACCAGACTGACCTCTTTGATCTCATTCAACTTGATTCAAATGAGCCAAAACTGTGTTTCAAAAATCAGGCGGAAATGCTATGTTTTGATTTGACCACCCACAGGACACACATACACATGCACCCACATCTTTTGTGATTATTCGCTGATACAGATTAGACACTGTGAGGGACCAAGCAGCCAAGGCATAGAGGACACAGGCAAAATCTTCAAAAAACTTTTCTTTATTTTAACCCTCAAAAAGTTCAAAAATGACAAAATTCAAAAACATAATTAGCAGGCCCATAAAAGAGGTCAACTAGATATAACTCTGCAAAAAGTAATTTCCAGAAACTTAAATAAACAAAGTGGACACAACTTAACTCACAAACTGACCTAATTACAAAGATGCATGAGGGTAGCTTTTATAGTGGTTTGGCCAAACCATTTACACACAATAGGGGGAAAACAAACACACTAATATTACCTAAGCACAGATTAACCTAAGTAAACCTAAAACACCCCTGTTCCTGATAAGCACATGGTCTGTCCTGCTGAGCAGGCATTTTGCTCTCAGAGTCCTCAGCCACGCCTTTCGCCCAGACAGGAAACAGCCACCGCCCAAAACCAGGTAACTCAAAGAAAAAGAAACATAATTAATATAACAAAACATTTTTAGAAAAACCACACAATATTATGTGCGTGCCTCATATTATCAGGGGGTTTAACCAAATGATTAATGAATTATATTAATGAAGAAAACTGCAAACCAAACTCAAAGTGAACAAATGGACTGATTTACCCCTGTGTGGCTGATGCCATCACAGACACTCAGCAGTGTGTTGATGAAGAACTGCAAAGTTGTTATTTTGGCCCAAAGAGGTGATTTAATTTGTTTATGTAATGTAAATACATGTACTTGCAGGTATTTACTCCTTTTCACAGCTTCACAGATGCTTGAATGTGGTACACACTACTAAACAGAGTCAGCCAGTAAAGAGATTTTGAACACTGGAGAGCGGTGCATGTTGTTGTTCTTTAGCATGCCGCCATCTGGTGGTGAACATTGGCAGAGAACTACATCTTCTTATCAGCTAGTTCCTTCAGGGGTCGCCATAGCAGATCATCTTGCTCCGTCACACCAACCCTCTGCATGTCAATACAATCTTCACTCCATCCATCAATCTACTCTGAGGTCTTCCACCTTACCTCCTGCCTGGTAGCTCAATCTCCTGCATCCTTCCAAACATCCACCACCCCTGCTCTGCACGTGTCCAACCATCTCAGACTTTACTCATTAACTTTGTCTCCAAGCTGCTCGACCTCAGTTGTCCCTCGGATGTCCATTGGAAAAACTTAGCATCTTTAACTCTGAAACTTCGAGCTCGCTCTTCTGTCTGTGTTTGTCGGTTTCACATTCTTTACACTATACATCATAGCAGGTCTCACTGCCATGTTACACACCTTCCCATTCACTCTTGTTATATTACAATAAAAGCAAAAATTGGAGGGGATTTTGCTTTAATTAATTCTGAAAGCTATCACGGAGGCAAGCAGACAGTACCAATACAGGCATTTGGGATAAACAGAAACTTGTTTAAAAAGAAATGTGTTTATTCCTTAAAACCACTTTCAATGTGGTTTTTAAGTAACAAAAACCTCATTTAAACACAAACTGCTGAGTACTTTACAGAGTAAAAAAACAACCCATGTTTCCAGTTTTATAATGCCCACTGTAAATAATTTAAAGGCTCCTTATCAGCATTGAGCTTGAGGACAATTCTTATTTTGCTGATGTGGCTGTATCAATTCAGGTCAAGAATGACCTGAAATAGCAGCACTGTAGCACGGTGGTTAGCACTGTTGCCGCACAGCAAGAAGGTCCTGAGTTCAATTCCACCATCAGGCCGGGGTCTTTCTGTGTGGAGTTTGCATGTTCTCCCCGTGTTTGCGTGGGTTCCCTCCGGGTACTCCGGCTTCCTCCCACCGTCCAAAGACATGCAGTTTGTGGGGATAGGTTAATTGGATAATCCAAATTGCCACTAGGTGTGAATGTGAGTATGAATGGTTGTCTGTCCTTGTGTGTTGGCCCTGCGACAGACTGGTGACCTGTCCAGGGTGTACCCTGCCTCTCGCCCTATGACAGCTGGGATTGGCTCCAGCACCCCCCGCGACCCTGAAAAGGATAAGCGGTAGCGAATGGATGGATGGATGGATGGAATGACCTAAAATAACTATCCTGATTTCCAAGAAAAAAAAGTAATAAAAACTTTGGCAGAAAGACTGAAATCCTTCCTTTTCTAAACAGTTAAATCAAGCAAAAATGACACAGAGCACAAAGAGTATATATAAAAAACATATATTTATTGTTCTGTTACTGTTGGTTAAATTGAACAACAATAAATGGCTGCAGGCCAGGAGACATACTGTACACATACTTAGAAAGCCCTGGAGAGCTTCCATTTTTAGATTCAGTGGCAGTTAACAATGCAAAAGAGAAAACCAGAGCAGAAAGAGGAACAGAAAACAACGTCCGCCGTATTCCAAACGGCGGATGAATATTATGGTTCAGTGGTGCGTTCAAAAGTCATCCTTCAGCCAAAGTGGTTTTTCTCCTACGCAGGTAACTTTACAAGAGGGGTAAAAATACTGTACATTGTTCTTTGCGTGGATGCAACTGAATGATTGGGATCTTTTACAATTGATTCTTTGTGTAGGACAGTGATAACTACTCACCTTGTTCTTCCTCCAAAACATGCAAGGTGGAAGAAAATCAAGTAAAGCTTTTAAAAGATAAAATGATTATTAGACTCTCGTGACAGAAATAGAAGTGCTCCGTACGCCACAAAATAGTGTGGATTAAAATAGATAAAGGTTATATATATATATATTTATACTATATTTAATATATAAAGGCTTAACTCTGAATACAAGGACAGCCACCAGTGCTGTCCCACACACATTCCTCAGTACACAAACCCTTGAACACAGTAACAAACTTTAAACCTGCTTTGTCTCGTTTTTTGCTCCAAGGACCACAAAGTTTTTGCACATCTGAAATAAAGTAAATTTGCAGCACCAGTCCTCCAAGTATTAAATTCTGGGATACAGATATTATTCGGGGTGTTTTGTTCGACACATTAAATTCAATGGTAACACTTTATAATACAGCCGCTGACTGAGGGCATACTTCCCTCGTAATTGAATGGAATTGTAATGTATTTATTTGAAATGACAATGTAATTATATTTAGATACAAATACTTCAAGATAGGTGCACTGGAATAATGGTGTAACACGTTAGGTTTTTATAGGAAACAGAAATAATTACACTGTAAGTACTGCATAATTTCTTGGTACTTTAATAGAAAAACATTATCTTACATTGTAAGTACACTGCATTTTCTGGGTCATGGGAGTGGCTTAACCACGCCAAACTTCTAAGTATTTTACAGCGAAGGAGACATAATGAACATTAAGGGTGTAAAAGGCGAGGTTCAGTCACTCCATAATACAGATACACTCCGAGAAGTAGAGCATACTTATGATGTAGAAAAGGAAAATACTGTTTGTCTGCAAAATTCACAGTTAATTACATATTGCCTAAAATTGTTTCTCCTGTCCTGTAAAAATATCTGGAAATTAAGCAAGGTCAGGGCACTCCATAACTGGGCCATGCCCTGAAAAGTACAGAGCACCTACGGTGTAAGATAGAGAAATATTGTTTGTTTTTACAATTACTTACAGTATGAATACTTCTTTGTTTCCAGTAAAAATCTAACTTTTTACCCCGTTATTCCATTATACGACCTTTTAAATATTTGTATGTGGATATAATTACATTGCAGTTTCAAATAAAATGTGTTAAAATTCCACTAAATTACAGGAGAATTACACTCTTAGTTATGGACTGTGTTATAAAGTGTTACTGGTTGAGGCTTCTGTACATGTCTTGGTTTTACTGACTCCAGACTGGAAAGTCAATAACACAGAGCTCGTTTAATTCAGAGTGACAAGCAGGAAGCATCAATACAGGATTTACTCTCCTACTGGTAGAGCAAAGGGGGAAAAGAGAAGAGGGGAAACAAACAATATAGGAGGAATGGAAGCAAGTGTCAGTGGCTGTGTAATTAGTTTCTCTCCAAGATAGAATTTATACATGAAACTAAGTGGTTGAACTAAAAAAAGCACATTTGTAGAGCAGATGAGAACAAATGTCCGTTTCAGTCCACACAAACGTTTACATTCCACACGCTGCAAAACACATCAGATCCAGCTCCTCAGATTCACAGGAACTTTATTCAGTCTCACCGTGTGCTCCGGGCTCCACCGAGGGGCACCAGCGTTCCAAATGTAAATGTGCAAATGTCATCCGTAACGCAGAACCGTTCAAAAACAACTCGACAAAAAGATAAAACGATCGACAAAGAATAACTTTTTTGCAGTCCCTGAAATATCCCATCTACTATAAGAAGTACTTTCCACTGAACTTTACCTTGCTTCTTAAGTTGCAGGATTGAAATGAAACTGATCAGTTTATGTGCCACAAAACAAAAACAAAGGAAGAGAGTATTAGTAAAAGACTGCATAATGCTGTTACCTCAAAAAGAAATAAAAGACAGGTATTAATTGCACATACGCCAACAAGAACCCAAACCAGCAGCCAGGGCGGTCGAGCCTTTTCCAACTTCGAAGCGTAAAAACATTAAATGAAAAGCCAAGTTTAGCTCAGTGTTCGTCACCCACCTCTACAAAGCTCTGTGCAGAAATGTGTTTTGATAATTATTTATGTTTAAATTTTTTTTGTTAATTTCAACTTCATACTGGCTTTTGAATTTCTAAAAGCACAATGAGTAAATGAAGAAGTCTCAGCTGTGCAAATGTCAAGACTAAAATATATTAAATTCAATGTTCAGCCATGTCCTCATGTCTGGCAAAAGCTTGTTTTTCCTCCACTCCCTTCATTTCAAATCCTCCCTACACTCCCCTTTTTTCTGATTCAAATAAAACTTGCTTATAATACAACACTGCGTAAAAAAAAAAGAGTCAAATTATTGGGATGAAACTCCAAATTCTCAGTTTCCTTTCTAAATTCTGACCGTGGTGTCCCTTTAGATGTCAGACAAAACTTGCAGAATATCAATATGCATCACCGTAGAAGCTTAGTTATTTCATTTCACACTCCCTCAAACCCTGTAGACAGATGGCGTGAAAATGATATTTAACACTGAGTACTCACAACTCTCCAAGTCTGGAGACTTGTCTCAGAAACACAAAATCTTAAAATAATTAGTACTGGTGGAGTGATAAACTCATGATATGTGAAGACGCGGGGCATTGATGACGAGAGCCAAAATGATTTCAATTAGCACAGCCGATTCAGTCCAAGAAGAAAACACAGACACAGCACAAGCAGCTGTTTTGTTTTAGGTGAGCACTGTGGAGCTGACTATTAGCTTACATCACACTTTTAACATCAGCAGAGGGACCACACAGGGGGGATATGTTGGCTCTGTTGCCATAGTAACAGTTGGGCAGAGAAACTCAGAGTGGCTGCGAAGGAGTCAAGTGAAAGGTGTGTGCTGGATGTATTTGAGTTTGGTTCTGTGTTGGGTGCACTGGCTGGTTCTCATTCGGAGATGGGGGATGCTGTTGGGGCTGTTGCAGGATGTGCACCACCCGGCCGAGGGTCTCTGTGGTGGCGAACGCCAGGTACTGGCAGCACAGCCAGTCCTCCAGGCTCACGCCACAGGCGTTGTCCAGCGAGCGCTCTGCGAACTTGATCATCATCAGTGTCCGCTTGAGGTCCAGCCAGTTCTGCAGGGTGGCCTCGCGTTGGCCCGAAGTGGCCCCGGACATAGGCCCGGTGCTGCTGCAGCCCAGCGCCTGAAACAAGTCCTCCCGAGGTCCCCAGAGGAGGCACTGGAGGCAGGCCCGCGCCTCGGCCATCCGGATTCTTTCGGAGGGGTTAACGGTGAGCAGCAAGCGCGCCAGCTGCTGCAGCCCCTGTGAGTAAAGCGATCTCACGGGCAGCGGTGGAAGGTCGGCCCAGGTGTACTCCCGCTCCTTCAACTCCGGCGTCTCCTCAAAGGGGTTGGGTCTGTGCAGCATCTCATAGATCAGAATCCCAGTCTGGAACTCATCACACTTGCGGTACTGGGTGGCTGTGATGATTTCGGGTGCCAGCCTCGACTGGTCGCGCAGCGTGCCGGGGTCAGTGGCCATGAGAGTGGTCTTTTGTTTCGCTTGGGAGAAGTTGCTGATGATGAGGCGTGCGGGGCAGGTGGAGTTGGCGGCAGCGGTGGCTGCAGCGCTTGCCCCCGAGCTGCTGCCGTTGCTGTTATTGTTGGGCTCCAGTAAGTCCAGATTCCAGGGGTTGCCAGGCTGGCATTGGACCAGCAGCAGGTTTTCGAGTCGCAGGTCACAGTGGGTCACGTGGAAAGGTTTCATGTGCTCCAGCCCGGAGCAAAGCTGCAGCAGCAGCAGACAGACCTGACGCTCATACAGCTCCGGGTTTTGAGTGTGCCGGCTCATGCCTTCTCTGACAAAGTCGGCCACTGTCTGGAAGGGCACCTCACGTGTGATCACCACCACTCGGCTCCTCAAGCGGCCAGCTGTGTTCATGTGACCCGCAGCCGGGACTTCATCTAGCTTCCCATTTGGAGAAGGCGATTTTGAATCTGCCATCTTAGCCTCTTTGTCCTTTACTGTCGGCCCCCCTTCCTCCTTATCTGCTTCTTCCTCCTCTTCTTCCTCTTCCCAGGGCAGCAGGCGGGCAGGAACATCAGCCAGGAAGTGGCCACAGTCCTGCTGGATGTTGAAGTGCACTGGCAGGCTCTGCCTCACTGCGAGGCTGTGGAAAAACTGCTGCTGGGTCTCCTTCACCTGGCTCCGACAGATCTGAAGAAGTACAAATAAATGTCAGAGAAAAATCACTGTCAGTCCAATGTCTTGAGTTGAAGATGAGAATTCAATCAACCTAAAGTCATTTTCAGATCTTATTTGTCCATATATCAGCAATGAAACATAGGGGAAACTTCAATGATATTCTAGTTTTCTTACTGTCACGAAATAACCCGACGATTCTGTGACACACAGCAGAAACGACACAAATGAGCCACACTGTTACCCTTAGTGTCGGCAAAAACGTCGGCATCGTTCCTTTATTTTGAGTCTCTGTCACATACACTGTCCTGCTGTCAGAAACGCTTACAGAAGCATTGGATGTGTATCGATCCATGGCTAAAAATACACCTCGAAATGCACCCCTTACCCCTGTCAGTGCACAGTTTGGTTAAAAAAAACAAGATGCTTAGCTGCTTTAGGAAATAACTTCGAGGTTTTAAACATGAAACCTGTCACAGGCGGGGACAGGGTTGTATATTTTAAGAACAAACACTTGGTTGGTTTCAGTCTTTTCATGAGATCTGTTCACAATATGATCATAAACAATGGTTTTACTGGGATTTATTTTTAAAGTAAATCCGTCAATACCTGACCTTTTGCCCATCTTCCTGTAATTCCTATATACTGTGTTTTCATATGGTCGCTGGTAACTAAATTAGATTCATCTCAATGAAATAAAACGGGGTCTACTGGCAGCAGAATTGGCCTTTTGGCTGCTGTGGGCGACCTCCAAACAAACAGCGACCTTCTGCAACACCAGGAGAAAACACAGAACATTTCAGTGGAGAACTCAAAAACATTTTCTGTTTCTTTCGAAACTCTCTGTCCTGCTCGGTTTCTCTCAAACAATGCAGCTAATGATACACAGCTGAAAGGGCAGAAAGCCGAGCTGAGGCTGTTACAGACAGCACTGAGAGTGTGTCTCTGTCTCCTAAAGCAGTTACAGCCTCCATAGCTCTCATTCTTAATCTTTGATCACAGCACAGTGAGAGGTGAAGCCGAGTCAGAGACAGAATCAGTCTGTGCAGAAAGCATGATGTATTAGATGTCTGGGGTTGAACAACATTCTGTCCCCTTGAAAATGAATAGTGTGGTTTCATTAATAATGATCAAATTTAACCTGTTTGTCTTCACTGATGTGCAACGTTTGCAGAAATTACTCTCAGAAATTTAATAAATGTCCCCAAAATACAAAATGACTCAAAGATGTTGTGAGGACAAGTGAGTTTGCTGTAATGCATAAGACTAAACAGTGAGTTGTAAAGATGCTGTAATGAGAAACCTCTGGCAGGTGTCTAACATTTGTTGTTTACTATTGTAGAATCTGATTGTAGTGTATGTATGGATATATATGTATATACGGGAGGGCAAACCTGGATGAGACTTTGTATGAACACCGCCAGACATACAGCGATTAACATATATATATTAATATCTTTAAAAATATATACTATAAATCCCAATTGTTTTCATTTTCCTCCTATATATTATGCAAATTTCATCATCCCCCTGTGATTGTGACATAAGTTCTTTGTTTGTGTTTCCTGTGGCACTTTCAATGTATGTTTTAAACAGTAAAAACAATAAAAATCTACATGTAAAGACGAGATGCTGATTTTTCAAAGTGGCCAAATAGTAACACTCTAACGTTGCTGTAAGATAGAACTTGAAAAGTTTTCCATCTTGATAAAGAATATGTAAAAATATTGCAGCCTTTTATTAACTGTATATAGCTGCAAAGTAGCTAATAATTATAGTACTTAGCAACTGAGTCACCCTTGATATAAATCAAGACATGGATTATGAATTAAAACCTGAACATGTTTTTATAACACAACGACAACCTCAGTCATTTCACTTTATTACTTCTATTAAAAGTTTAAAGTGTTTGTTGTGATTTATGTAGATTTGATTAAACTCTCATACAGCATGAATAACCGCATCAGTGCACTCCTTTCAGACGCACCCTGTAATTGTTCAGGAATGTGCAGCTTCACTTGATGTTTGTTTGAGCATGATGGCTCACGATGACTAGACCTGCCTACTTCACTTTCTTTGAAGACATCTGCAGATTTTCAAAACTCTGACACCGTACTCGTGTTTCTGGTTGTAACACAATCCTGCAAATTAGCAGAAACTCACTGCTTTTATTACCACCTCTTGTCTCCTTAATGTCGACTCTTCAGTGATACGCTAGAGCTTTAAAGCACAGTGAGGTGCTCACTGAATTCTTTGGAGAGCTAAAGTGAGTAATTAGCACAGAAGTAAAATATGAAAGTTCAGATGCGTCATCTGCACATAAAGGGTTAAAGGAAGGCAGGGGCCTAGCTGGGCTGCATTCAGACAGAGTTGGGGAAGGTTTAATTGGGAAGTTGGGGCTTGTTTCTACTGCTTCTGGTTGCCTTATTTATAGATGAGCGTCTTTAAAAAAAACAAGAGTCTCTCTTAAGCCTGCTGCTAATACGAAGGCAAGGCTTTGAAGTGGTGTGGCGCACAGTGTTTCATATCCTGTGAATAATTTAACCTTCATCCATATCTGCTTTGTGTTTAGCGTCAGAACTCTTTCGGCAAGCTGTGCCCTCAAACCACCACATGCATCTCCATACACACTGAAGACAAAGCTGCTCCTCTCGCACAATCGCACAGAGGCGAAGAAAACAAACAAACAAACACAACAACGCTCGTTTTTATTGCACAAGGTCATGCCCTAAGGGATCAAAGTTTAAGTGCCAATATTTCACAGCACTTCAAGAAAAGAGGGGAGGAGATTCGTCGGCATAAGCACAAGGATTTTATGAATCTACTGCAAAGACAGCAGCTACCAGAGAAAGATATCTACAATACTTTTGATGTAGCAAGAATTCAAACCAATCCCCCACAACAAATAAACACACTAATTAAGAGAAAACTAAGAACAAGCTGAACAAAGAGATGCTGAAATATTTTACTGAGATCAGAAAACATCACTTCTTTTGGGGGGGGGGAAACAGCTTTGACTGTAAAATAGGACAAACCTTGTTTTTCTCTTCTTTCCTACAAGTCAGTGTTTAAGGTTCTTTCGAGGTTTTAGGGTTTAAATATTCAACAGAATATGTAACACAAAAGAAGCTGTATTCATTTAACACCAAACTAAAAGAAAGAATCTCACCTTGATGGCATAATTGACCAGTGGGTCCTTGGCATAAGATGCAGTGTAGTAAACGGCGTCCCCCGCCTCACAGCAGGGTTTCCCAGTGGTCAGCCTGAAGTGGGACCAGCTTTCAGTGCCAAACCTCAAATGATCTTTCTGGCCAGCCATGAAACGGTCCTCGCATTTTGCTGCCAGTTTCCGTAGAGTGTCTGTGTGGAGCCCGCGGATCCTCCCCACCACCTCATCCCAGCTGTCCAACCCCCTGTAAAGAGCAGGTCTCTGGGGTTTGGAGGCTGCGCCGCCTCCGGCAGCTCCGCGACCCGCTGTCCGACCCCTTCCAGCCAGGGATTCTGAACTTGGGTAGACTCTCTTCTCTTTGCCGGGGGTTGCGCTGGCTGCAGCAGGTGAAGGCTGAGGGACCAGAGAGGACACGCTATTGGTCATGCGGGCCTTGTTGGTAGCTGTGGCAGCTGATGACCTCTCTAAGGAGTCACCGCTCTCATGGTCGTGGCCTCGATGTGGTTCGGAGCTCAGAGAGGAGCTCTGACTAGCTGTTTCCCAGGTGGAGTCCAAGTCATAAAGAGGGTTGGCTACACTAAGGTTGGTGCCCCCCGGTTTAGCTTCAGCTCGAGGCCTGAGGCCTCCCACTGGCTCTTTGCCTCCCAGGATGGGTTCAGTACTGGAACGAGGAACTGCTTTTTTGGGTAATGGCGGGGGTGTAGCTTTAGGGGCTGGCTGCTCAGCGAGGCCTTCGATTTCGATGGAGGCTAGTGTGTCATTGGATGCTTTCATGTTTCTTGGCTGTTTAAGTGGAATCATGCTGGCTCGAGATTTACCTGAAGGAAAGAAAACAGAAAACATTTATACTGCATAAAAAAGATCCAGTGAAACTAAAAGACTGTTGGGACCCTTCAAATTGAACGGAGGGCGTAATGATATCCAGTTCAATAAGCAGGAAGAACAGCTCCTTCAATTTCCTTGAATTAAATTCACACAATAATCTAATGTTAGTATACAACAGACTTTATATGAAAAAATTAGCCCGTTAACTCCACAACAATGATTTGACAGCACAGTTATTACCTTAAATAACCTGCAGACAGAAATTTTATAACCAAAATCTAATCAGTCAATGAAAGCATTTGCACAGATTCAATATTTCACGTATATGTATACCTTTAAATACTCATCCAAATACATTCGATAGTTTGTCAACACCATTTCTGTGTTGTTGTTTTTTTAACTCCACACTCTGATCAGTTAAGACACCAACAGAAACATCGCTCTCAAGTTGTTTTGGTTTGGAAGGGAGGTGGGGAATCTTTGCCATGGGAAAAAAACAACTTAAAGACCCAGATATCAGTAAAGGATACATGAAAAAAATAAAACGACACAAAAGCTGCAATTCGATAAAACTAACGAAAAATCCCTCGCCACAAAAACAACGACACACCCTTACAGCTAGGGCTTGCCCTTTGCTCTCTGGCGTTTCCAGAGAACCACTAGCTTGTTGCGTCTCTTGAGGACAAAAGGATGACATGATGATGTGTGCGACAGCACGTGATAGAGCTGGTGGCCCTGATGCCACAAGCTGTTTCTTCAACCATCCAGCTGCCTGACTCAATCTGCAGTCCTGTTCTGTAGTGAGGCTTAAAGACGCAGCATGGAGAGCAAATTTAGAAGTGGCTTGATGTGACCTTATTTTTTTGCTTGGATGGTGGAAGGAAGAATCCAGAAGGTTGGGAGACTGATTGGATTCCCTCAACGTTCTGTGGGGTTAATGACCACCGAGGCACACGGGTCAGAGGCAAGTGTGATAAAAGGAAAAGGCGGCAGGGGTCGTGCTGTTTGCATGATGGAAACAAAGCTCCCTGGTTTTTCTAACAAAGTGTGCATGTAGGGTTACAGATAACTCAACGTCGCGGCTTTAACTCACCAGGGAGATCTGAGTTCATGTCTTTCAAAGTCACCTCCTTCTACCAAATTACTTTGACCGTCCCTGAGGCAAATGCATGTTCGTGAACAAATCATTCCTCTTTGTGCAGCACAAATACTACTGATTATACATCGTTAAAAAGTATGGGCGACACCTCATGTGCAAGTCATGCTGACATCATCCTAAGAATGCAGGAAAAGCCTTAAGATAGAGCAGTCAGGATGAAGTAAATGAGTCTTGGTAATCCTCCGTGGAACGAATATATTAAATGTGTTCCTCCACCAATCTGCAGTAATCCATCCAAGAAAGCAGCCGTCTCCCACTTCCAGTTGTAGGGATCTTTTATTGCAGTGTGGCTGTGACTTAACTCAATTACATAAGACTGGGATTTTTTTTTTTTTTGCATGTGTATGATTAAGCAAATAAATCTTTAAAACTACATAAAAACAATAAAGAACACACTGTTATTTATGACACAGTTAATGTTTGCAGCTATTAGCAAAGTAGCAACTCTAAATCCCAGAATGTCGTACACCTACTGTAAAGGAACAGGGTAAATAGTTATTTGTGCATTGCAATTCAATTAAACCAAGGCCTGTGACGGTGCTCAACAGCATGCTTGAAGCAAAACCACAATTTGAAAAAAAGGGGGAACAGAAAAAAGCTGTGCACAAACATGACTACAAAGTTGATTTTTAATCATTTAAAGTCCACTGCTGTTAAACTAAACTTCTTTTACAGCAACATGAAGAACCTGATGTGTCTGAGCCAACTGCTCTGTTACTGCTCTCAGTCCAAATCCGAGTACCAGCAGATGTCAGTTCAGAGTCTCTGCTGCATCACATCACACTGTCAACAATCAGTCTGAAAACAGCTCAACAAGTGATAAATATATACATGCAAATTAGAGCACATAAAGCTAACAGTTAATATTTGTAATATAATGTGAAAACTCACAAATGCAGCGACTGATCCAACCGTTGTTCTTAAAATATCATGTCAGAGCCGTGCAGTCAAATTTCCAGGGAACAGCATTCATCAACTGGTTTGATGAATTCTGACTGGTTGAGGGAACTTGTTGCCATAGCAGAGCGATTGCTGCTCAGCTGCCTCCGAACTAACTCTGACACGTTAACAAGAGGCAAGCGATGGATGGAGGAGGTGGGTAGAATAAAGTAGAATAAAGAGGACCGGGGGGGTGGAATGGAGTGAGAGCGGTGGAGTAGGCGGTTAGAGGTGGTAGAAGTGGCGGTTGGGGTGGGGGGAGAATTTCAAAATAATAAATAAATAAATAAATAGGTGAGGGGGCTGATGAACAGAGAAAAATAAATATATGACAGAGATAAACACTGAGGAAAACGAGCGAAACAAGCTTACCTCAATTCCACTAACGCCTCAAAGTTTTTAGAGAAACGTGGTGCAGTTACAGCAGCAGCAGCAGCGCCCAGAGGCAGAATAAAACGCTGTTCTCTGCTTCCATCCCTGAGAGTCTGTGAGGAGTCGCCGGTGCCAACAGACAGGCTCAGCGCTCCCACCAATAATGGAGATTTCTCACTTAAAGGCAGCGAGCACTCTGCCTCCTACCGCCTGATGCTCTGATTAAAACCCGAGCGAGACTATACTACATGACAGTGAGTGAGTGAGAGAGCGAGAGCACGCAAGAGAGAGACACTTTCATTTAAAAAGTGAACCTGATTCCTCACAAAAAAAAGAAACGTGTGAACAGCAAATGTAGCCCACAGTAGTGAAAAGCAAAGCGATGCTACGGTAACAGCAGGAAAAACAGGAAACTCAAAGCAGGCGTTACACTGAGCGGCTGTGTGTCTTAGGTCAACACTTGTTTGTGTGTGTCTCAGTGTGTGGAAGGCCACACACCTCCTCCTCCCAAACAGAAACAACACGCTGTTCTGTGCGATGTTTGACAACACGGATACACAAACTTCTATCTAGCCCCTCATTAGCAGTATGCAGCAAAGTTAAATTAGGCTGCAGGCAGCTCGCTGCGTGCGTCATCCAGGGAGCTTTTAACACAACCCATCCACAGGGCCCGTGTGCATTTCAAGCTTCACAAACAAACCCGTGCAAATGCTGCATTCCCAGTTTGCACATGCCTTCTGAAAAGAGAGGAAAAAAAAGGCCTAATTAGTACAACAGTGCCAGAGCAACACAAATATTTTGTCACTGCTGAATCCTTAAACAGGAAGCTGTATAGTTTAATTCTCTTAAACATCACACGTCCACATGTGCGACGACGCAGCGAGGCACCTCAGTTGCACAGCTGCTCTGCAAACCCACACTCTCTAACCCTTTCGCTTTGTGTTTCTATTTCTTGTTCTCTCACATACCACTTGATCACGGAGAGATCCGTTTCCCACACAGAGAGCTTCGTGTGTTAAGTGCCCCGACAGTACTCGACAGCTGTGCCTACCTCTCTGTTATAGAAGCTGGGCTGTATGTGCTTATTGTCAAAGTGAGAGAAAACTTGTAAAGCGGAGCAGCTAGCAAAGTTGAAATGAAACCTGTCCATCAGCAAGACACTTTATTATCATGGAGTTACAGGAATGTGATGGACAAAGAACCTATTCAACTTCCTGTTAACACAGATATCAGCCAATCACATAGCAGCAACTCAGTACATTTAGGCATGCAGACAGGGTCAAGATGACCTGGTGAAGTTTAAACTAAGCAACAGAATGGAGCAAACAGTCCTGAGAACCTCAAAGATGGTTGATGTCGTGGGATTTTCCCACACAAGCATCTCTGTGGTTCACAGAGAACCTTCTGAGGTCACAGAAGAATGGCCAGGCTGCTTCGAGGTGACAGGAAGGCAAAATTAACTCAAACAGCTGCTTGTTACAACCAAGCTACACAGAAGAGCATCTCTGAATCTACAGCAGCAGAAGACCACACCGAGTACCACTCCTGTCTGCCGGGAACAACAAACTGACGCTACAATTCACACAGGCTCACCAAAATTGAGCAACAGAAGTTTGGAAAAGTGTTGCATGGTCTGAATTTCTACTGCAGCATTCAGATGGTCAAAATTCTGAAACATTACAGCTTGAAAGCAGGGATTCAGTCTGAACCACTGATACAATAGCTCAGGCTGGGGGATATTTTTCCTTGGAAGATTTTGGGGTCCTTAATACCAACAGCATCGTTTAAATGACACAGCCAACCTGAGAATTGCTGGTGCTGATCAAGAACGACCATTTCTGATGCACAGAGTGTGAGTATCTAATATGTCAAAATAAAAAAATAAAAAAATTGTATTTAATATTCTTTTCTTTTATGATAAACTTATACTTTTATTTAAACTTATACTATACTTTTAACATTTCAATTTTTTTTTTTACATTTTCTGGCACTTATTTCATGGTTCGGGCATTAAAGGGTTTATGCCCACAGTGTGCCCATCCTCTGATGGCTTCTTCCAGCAGGATAATGCTCCATGGCACAAATCTCAAACTGCTATCTTGAATATCACAGTGAGTTCATTACACTGTGGCGTCCACAGGCAGTCTGCAGCAACTGTGTGATGCTTCAAGTCAATATGGATTTAAAAATGGAATCTATGCTACCAAGAATTAAAGCAGTTCTGGAGGTAAAAGTTCAAAACAGTACTAGAAAGGAGTACCTAAGTGAATGTATGTTGTCTTGTTCATGCAGAATAACTTTATTTTTTTTAAGTATCAGGGAGCAAATCTGCAATGTGCTGGCTGAATTTTTTTTCTGTGAAAAGAACATCAAGGCCTCAAAGAATTTGTTCTTGTGCCTCCCAATTGTTTACCGATGTCCTGCTGTTTCTAGGAAATGGGACAATTTTCAGAGAAAAAAATCAGAGGTGGGACCAAGTCATTGTTTTGCAAGTCTCAAGTAAGTCTCAAGTCTTTATCCTCAAGTCTCAAGTCAAGTCTCAAGTAATGTCAGGCAAGTCAGAGTCGAGTCTCAAGTCACTGGTGTAAAAGTCCGAGTCAAGTCACAAGTCTGAAACTTTGAATTTCAAGTCCTTTCGAGTCATTCAAAAAAACGAAAAAAAGCATGTTGCAGTTATATGCTAAATGTAAATATTAGACCATGTAATTTTAAAATCTGTGTTTTTCTCAACACATACAAAATAGTGAACTTAGAAAATATACACAAATTGTGAAATTGCACCTCTTTAAAATGCAGCTCAATTAAACCTAGCTCCAAGAATAATTTTCACCGACAGTTCTGAGATAAGCTGCATGTTGTTCTTGGATGCGGTTGTAGGACCAGCTTTAAAATCGCATGACAAAAATATCATACACATTAAAAAAAACTGTATCACCAACGTAGCCTGGACAACATTTGCTAGTTAGATGAAGTCAGCTATCTCATCTTAGCATATTTATATGCATATTTATAATTATACGGTTCTTGGAGTGAGTGCACACACTCATGAAGTTTAGTAACTTCAGGTCACTGCAACAAGCCCAGGTACAGTTTACCGACAGATGGGTGCAGGACCTTGAAATGCACCGTGTAGAACGAAAGACCATCGTACATATCATAAGTTTACCAGTCTCACAAATTGTTTTCATAAATACACATTCCTTATCCGTTTATTAATAGGACCTTTGAGCTCAACGGTAATTAATTAGTAGTGGAAATAATTTCTGGTAGCATCACAGAAATGTAGCAGTGACAACAATATTGTATGCTGTAATCGTACTGGACAATTAGTGATACAAAAAACCTGTTTTATCCTGTGAATAAAAGTATGTTTTTGTCAATGTACCATAATAACAGAAGCGAAACGCAATATCATGTCAGGACAATTCACTATTTATGCACAATAAACAAAGGAGCATAGCGCGACCATTTCTGTTCAGCGCCAGACTTGCTTGTAACCTATATCACCAATTATTTTATGAAAAATGACGTATTAACTACTAAAAAACACTGACCTTCGTGTAAATGCTTGGAGCAGACTAACCTGTGAGCTGGAGTGTTCTGGGACGTTATATTTGATCTTTGAATGGCTGCAATCCAGTCGCGTCTTTGTTACTTCGGAAACATGGCTCGAACAATTTCTCTTCAACGACGTAATCCGATAACAACCGATCTCTTTACCCGTCGGCTTCCCGTGGCTGTCATGCGACCGGCTATTGCAGTTAATAATACAACGGCTTCTTGACATTTTTGTGTTTCTTTTTATCGCTGTATAACTGATTTCAATTGAAAGTCTGTGTGCGCTAGTACCTCTTGCCACGAGTTCCCAGAATCCTTTGCGGTTTTATCCCTGAATGACGTCACATTTTCAATCTCTATATAATATGCATGTTAAATTTTATATTTGGGGTAAAATATCAAGTCTTTTCAAGTAAACCGGTTCAAGTCCAATTCAAGTCCCAAGTCATTGGTGTAAAAGTCCAAGTCAAGTCACAAGTCTTAGAACATTTTTTCAAGTCAAGTCTAAAGTCATAAAATTAATGACTCGAGTCTGACTCTAGTCCAAGTCATGTGACTCGAGTCCACACCTCTGAAAAAAATATCCAGAGATATTTTTATGCCGTTTCTTGGCTACAAGACATGTGATTTAAAAAAGAAAACATAAAAACTCCCCACAATATTTATCCTATTAACAGTACTGTGGTTAGCTATGTAGTCTATGCTCTTATACTGTGTGAAAGCAGCAAGGCAGGTAGCCCTATTACAATCTTATCAGTCAGTCATGATATAGTTTCAAGACAGAGACACAGGATATGATAAAAGAAAACAAAGAGGAGGATTGTGATTAAAATGGGATTTATGCAGGTCCCTAGGGTTCTCAGTTTTGATCACCATCAGGAACTGAACCAGCTTCATGAGTAGGATCAATAACCCCAGGGCAAAGATTCTCCCACCTCCAACGGAAAAAAACAAACATTTTTTTTGTAATATGTTATTTTAGGCACCGAGCTGCAGGCTGTGTGTGAAAAGATGTGTCGAGATTTCGGGCTCCAGCTGTTTTTGCAGAGAATAAATTATGCCCTGTCACATGAGAAAGTGTGCTGATACAGGAAGAAAGTAAAATCAGCCACTCAGGAGTGAAAGAACTGCCAAAACTGCCAAAAAACACAAGTTCACCGGTTTGGCAAGCTTACAGCGACAGCAAAGGAGGGTCTTATACACTGACATGTCATACTTTCCTGTTTTTGTATTTTTTTTAATATACTAATTAGTGCAAACAATGTTGAATTCAATAATTTTGGTGTATAATCCATATTTTATTTGCAGATTAGCTTTCCTCATTACGTTATCTTCAGTTTTTGTGAGCATTGTGATGTGACAAATCCAGAATAAAAATCAGTTGAAGAATGCAATAGATGGATGTGTCTTAAGACATCAGGCAGAAAAATCTGTCACACACAGTCAAAACCTACTTATGTAGACAATTCAATCATCCTGACTAAGCCTACGCACCACAGAAGGCATCATCTTAAATTTCAGGTTTCTCCAGCACTAATATAAACATGAGTTTAAAAAAACAAAACAAAAATCCTTCTCTATCCATCTTTCATATTTCACTCTTACCCAGATTGCTGTAGGTGGCACTGCACTGGCTGGAGGCAGGAGAGTGAGAATAATGAGAGTGAATCCCGTCGTCCTCAGGCTCTCCCAGGCTGGCGCTGCCCTCACTGGCCGCGGCTGTACTAGCAACCTGGTTGGCATGGCCCTCCGCGGCCTCCCCAAGCACCAGCCCCAGATTCACTTTGGCAGGCAAGGAGGTGGCGCTGGGCAGCTCCCGATCCCTGGCGCTGGCACCGACTGGTACCTGGCTGCACATGACAGAGAGAGGCATGGTTCATTTAGTTTCTTCATCTACTGGTCTGCCTACACGTGACTGCACTTGCTGACAGTATTTTTTCCCAGTGCTTCCATTGCCAGACTCGACAGAGTAGCTGGTATTGTTTTAACCTTGTAAGTCTGTAAGTGCTTTTGTGTGAGCTCATGGCGCACTCTGGTTCTTTCACATTATGCTGTAACAGCGGATCAAAATGGAGCCCAAAGTCCTGAGATGGAGGTGTACTCAGTTATAACTCTGTGTTATAAAAATACCAGAATAAATACGATGATGAAGTTTAAAACAAAAAAAATCTTAAAATTAGTTTTACTGTCACAACAAGTGGAGGATCACTCTGTTTGAATCAGCTGGTTGTGTTTGGGGTGTTCTGAACACACATGTTGCCAACAGGGAAGCTACAGAGCGCCCTCTGCAGGACGAGCAAAGCAACATTAACACTGGCTGAAGGGCGTTTCTCCCTCTTTACTTTTTACATTTTTATTTATCGACAGTTACAAATAATTATATCAATACACCAACAATATATCAGAAAATAGCTTAAATCAGGCGAGATATTGGCTGCACTAATAAAGCTGTATTACAGAGTACTGATAGCATGACTATATTAACTCCTACTGAGTACTAAAGGGTTGAGACATCAATATGTTGATGGGTGTGGCGGCTGATCTGATCCTGTTGCCAGACTGCCTCGACTTTTATTAATCTTTTCATGACAAGCTTTTGCTCTTCAAAGAAATATCAGCAAAACAACTCATAAAAGAAGCAATATAATAATAGAAGGCCCATATTGGAAAGACACTAGTGCTGCAGAATGATGAATGAGTTGCTTATGATAGGGACTTTAATCTGTCATTCATTCCGTCTATGAAACTGTATCTAACATCTCAGGATATAAACAAAAACACATACGACATTGGTTTTATCTGGTCAGTCTTTTTTTCCATCTCTGATATCAGTATGTGCCTCACTCTATCAGCACACTTCATCTTCCTCAGCAAGTGATAAATTGGAGCCAGTGCAGCTGTCAGTGGGAGGCTTTTGAAGCTTGATGCGTTTTATATGCAACTACACATACGGCGCCTGAGGGAAGGTGTAAGAAAAAGGCAAAGCAAGTCACAGCACAGTATGATGACATGTTTTGAAGAACCATTCATCAGTAGGTGGCTCTGATTTGAGGTGTTTAAGGAGGTGAGATCAGAATATTTCGCAGATATAAATGCCATTATTAACCTTTTTTATTATTATTATTATAAATAATTTTTTTTTTAGCTTTTTTCTTTAAACATGTCTTCACTAGGACTGTAACATTTGAATGTGTTGAAAAATACGCTAATGAATCCATCCTTCAATTAAAAAAAAACAAACAACTTTCTGGAAGATATCCCAGCTGACATGGAGCTAGAAGCGAGTTATACCCTGGACAGGCCTTTGGTTCATCAGGCACACAGGGAGAGACAAGTACGCACTCTCACATCAACACTTACAGGTTATTTAACACCAATTAACCTGTCGAAGGAAACAGAAGGAAACTCACGCAGGCACAGGAAAAACATGCAAATTCCACAAAGAGTTATGGTAAAAGGTAAAAAAGGTAAGACTAAAGAATTGCAAAAAAAGGTAACGCTCAAGCTCAAGAACTTTAAAGATACGGTGTGCGAACTCTCACCACTAAATGTCAGTAGATTGCAGTTTGCAGTCGACTGAGTTTTGTTATATATTTTTGTTATATTTTGTTTTTCTGTTACAGGAAAAACAACTCTGAGTGCCGTTCATCTCCAGTGAGTATAGGCTGTCAGGTTGCTGTTTACCTCTGCTGTCAATATGTATCCTCATCTATTTACTCTCAAGGAGGCTGTAAAATTCAGATGTGAGTGGATGAGTCAGTGAAGCTCACTTCTGACCAATCACAGTGATACTGAGGTGAGCTGCTGAGGATATCCTGAACTTTTCTGTCAGTAATCACTGCTGTTCCTGCTGCTGTTAGTGAAACTGTGTTACTGTCTTTGAAGTGGATCTAACATCGTAGTACTCGGACTGAAGCATATGAAGCTTGAGGGAGGAAGAAGAGAAAGTGGTGACATAATGAGAAAGAGATGATAAAAATGCACCTGTTCAAATGCTTTTTGCGATTTGTAAATGAAAATTCACTTGTAATCCTTACTGGGGAAGTGGCTGGGCTCTTGCCACGTACACAAAACACGATCAGGTTTAACAACGATGTCCATCTATCACACTTGTACTTTTAATGGATTCATTTTAAGTTTATAACAATGTATGGATTTGTTGGAAGGCTTATTTACACACTAATCAAAGTATATTTCTTGGCACAACATTTTGTTTTATTCATTCAAAAGAAATGACTGTATCTTTGAGCACAACAGCTTTCCTTGTAATGGTGTGTTGCTGTGTGCTTTCACACTATGTAATAGTCTTCATTACAACACCAGACAATGACTTCATCATGTGCTAACCCCATTGAATTGCGGGTGTGAGAATTCTGGGCCACATCTGAAATTCACCCATACTGTGTAATAACTGTGATAACTCCACTCACCAAAGCATATTTGGAAGCACCCTAGTGCATGTTGTTGACAAAGATGCAAGTTGTACAGGCAATGTGCCGTCTATGTGTAAATAACAACACAGTACTGGGTACTACGGACAGTATTGCCTTTTCTGGCATAGCAGACAGAAACCAGAAACCATTTGAATGAATTAAAATGTTTTATTTAAAGCTTCATGAACTCTAGAGTGAAAAGGACTTTTAGTACTAACCAATTAATAGATTAATGAGTAGCAATAGTTTTCCTTCCTCTGATTGGAAATTACAGTGTCAAATATTTACAGCTGCTTGACATACTATCATCGTATTTATTACTTTACAAGAGAGGAAGAGGAATAACGGCTTTTTTTTAAGTGCGGGGGGTGGGGGGTAGTAGTGGACACTGAAATAATTAGTTTCACTACAGCCAAAATCAGTACGTCAGCTATATCTATAAAGTAGATCAGCAACCAACCCAAACAGGAAGTTTATGACACTTTTTCGTGCCCCTGTCAAAAGCAGTAGGAGAACAACTGCAATAACCATGCAGAGAACAGGGCTTGTACAGTGCTTTGCATTTTAGATATTATGGTGGTGGGGATATATGTCAAATTTTATCTTGAGTTTAAATGTAATGCATGAAAAAGATTCATTGTCAAAGACTATTTAAAAAAAACTTTAAAGGTCATGAAAAGTTCACACTTGTTTTCACAGCCGCAGGCAATGTCACGGGTGGGACCGGCTGGCAGTAATGTTTGTATTATGCTAAATCAGATGTGTCATTTCCTTTAACTGTAATGTTGATTGCACACTGGCATGACTAATGATTTGTGTGATCATGAGCAAAAGTCCCTAAAGTACAGCTCATGGGACAAAGCTCATCAAGATATTTGAGCTGCTTGATACACTGTAGGACACTTTTTCCTGAAACTAAAACAAACTTCAAGAGAACAAGTTGAAATTATTCTGTCAACAACTAGCCAGCCACTTACTCACAGCTGCTCACAGTTACTCATATTCTTTGTGTGTGCAAAGTATAGCATGACTTAAGGCCCATGTGTGGCAGGAATAATAAATTAGCTTTAAATTACACAAAACCACACCAAGTAGTTTTATATTTAACAAATGTAAAAAAAAAATCAAGATAAAAGCAAAGGTTTCATTTCAAAGAAGACAGTAATAATTGTAAAAGTTAAATGCTTTCATGAAATGGGTAAGAAGAACAAAAAAAGGAAATGAGTGAAGCAAAGTCTGACACGCTTTTCACCGGGCTGATCAATTACATTTTAGGTCTAAAAAAACATATAAAACAAAATTTCCATGGCAGTCCAAGGTCAACCACCTTGTTTATCGTCTTAACATTAAAAATATTTGATATTTTGAGGGGGGGAAAGGAATTAAACTATTACATGATTTCCTAACAGAATGGCATGCTGTGTTATCTTGCATCTCGCTACAGCCAAATGCACTGGACGTTAATCTGTTTCTTTCTAATTGCCATTCCCCTTGTGTTTTGGTGCAGACTCATTGTTCATTTGGAAAACTATTGCAATATCTGACCGTTACATGAAAGAAAAGAGTCATCAAGACAACACCTAGCGGCTCGCGTTTCTGTCTCCACCCTGGAGCGCTGTATTGAGGAAAACATCAGACGTGACACATTTATGATCTGTCTCAGCTGTCTCTTAAGGCTATAAACCGTCCATGTCTCTTTTAAGAGTTGATCGATAGTTCCCAAGGTACTATCGTGGATTACTTCTGCACTTACCAGCGGCTGACAGTTAAAATAAAAACATAACACAATGTTGTCGGCTAACAAGGAATCAAAAAGTAAGTAAACTGTGAAAAGATGAAGCAATCAAAACTGCACCCTGAAAACTGAGTAAGCCAAGACAGCTTACAGAACATTGTCGAGGCAAAAGATCTTCTGTTCTGCCTGTACACGCCAGCGTATTCTTATTCTTCCCCGTTTTTTGCTTTGCACAAAGCTGACACTGATTTTACTCAGATCCGGTCTACTATTAGCTAACAACTAGCTATAATGCTGCTCAAAAGAGCACTAAATCACAAAGAGCCCAATCTCCACTTCAAAATCCCGTATGAACAAAACATCCAGGGTAAACTTTGAGAGGCCTTGATACAAATACCTTTATGGCTGCTACATGTTCCAGCGGTCAGGACCTGACTTGTTTAGACATCGCAAAACTGCCTGGGTGCATTTTCACTCCTCTGCTGCGAGAGAAGAATAACGCCTCATCCAAAATGCAAATCAAATTAAATTCAAACCTCTCTTCCCGCTGTTCAATGTGACTTCAAATGACCAGGCTGGTCGTAGGTTACAAAGGTGTGCGGCAGAAGAGAGTTTAAAGTTCTTACCCGCTGTACTGGCTCACACAACTTCCCATCTAGAAACCCAGAACACAAACGTGTAG